GTTGTGACAGTCCCCCCTATATCACGCGGGCCATGCCAAACGAACTGAACAGCTTATTTTCATGGTGAGATATTACAGTACAATATATCTGATCATAGGATCCCTGCTGGATTTCGCCGAAAGATAGACCAGCAGGGATGCCTTCTACAGGCTGGCGCAAGCTGATGCAAACATCAGAACCTTGCTTTCTTAAAAAGATGATTCCAGCACTCTTTGCCATGGTGAATGTGCAGAGCTTCGGATTGAACTGCAAAACTAGAAATACATCCATCGGTTGCTGTTAGTTTCTGCGTCTTCCTGTCAACTGCTCTAAATGTGCGCACTATTGATCCATAATTCCTTTACTGCTTACCTGTTAACAGAGGCGTTGCTGGGTGTTTAGTCTACTCACGTTTTGCATACAAATGCAGGAGGATCGTGCAACGAAAATCCTCGATCTTACCCGAAGACCTTAATGAGATGAAACACATTCGAAGCAGGTAAGAGTACGTCATAATAAGCATCTTTGAGCACATAATAAATGTTAATAATAAGTAGCTTGAACCTCCTATCTAATCGCCAGAGTCCTGGGCACAGCGCCACCAAGTTATGCTGGTGATGGTGTGCAGAGAAGGCAACAGCTGTTTCTGTTAGAAGTTACAGCACACATTGCTGCAACTTGTGCTGCAAGGCAACCGCTCAGGCAAACTACCTAAACTCCCCTTTGATGTATTCTATACACGAGTGTACATTTTTCAAGCATCTCCTTGCACTTCAGTAGCCGTTCTGCGAGCAACTAGGAATGCAGATATCAACTTCCAACAGACCGTCTTGCGAAGCGCTAGCTCACCTCTCCTGCTCCCTTCACCCGGGTCACAAACAATTCTAATTTCATTCTTTTTGATTCGTTTAAAGGTTTAATCAGCACGCATTCCTCGTCAACTGCAGTGCTGGCACGCTGTAACACCTACAGGAGAAGGGCACACTCGACGGCTGCTGCCTGTCGTTGATCGCGATATTTTCTGTTCCCTTCACTGAAATATTATACAGTGAAACGATCAGAGGGGGGCATTCCAGTCCATCTCCTGCAACACCAACCAAAAGGAGAGGTAGACAAACAGGGCAGACGTCCGTGGCGGTCTCGCGCGACACCTCACTTGGGGTTGTTGCCCAACCCCCCTTATCTCAGAGCTCCATCACATTTATTGTTTGCATTTTAATATACAATAACATGTTTTATCATGCAGAAAATTCTCAAAATTACCCGACAATAGCACAGGTTTGCTCTTTAATACTGTCGCTAGAGGCGTTGTAAGCCTGCTGACAATCGACTCCACAGCTACGACATTCTTGGGGTGCCCCGCCCTTACCACCACCTCCAAATCTTTTCTGTTGAATTCTCCATCGTTGCTTTATGACTCATGTTCAGGAATTTCAATGGGGGGCACTGCGAGCATCCATA